TAGTTTTTAACCTAATTGAAACTCATAAAATCACACATTTCCTGACCAATCGCGTCCAAGACACCGCCTACTCATACGGCACATATAAGGAGTACTTTGGAGGCGTGCTCCCCCTTTGAGCACTGGGACAAGATGGCCTCCAGGTCTGAACAAAGGAAATGGTGATTACTTGGTGCTTGTGTGTTTTACAGACTGACAAACGAATTTAGACGCATTTTATTAGTTTGTCTATGTAAACTGTTTTTATAACTTTAACTGAAATAAAGACAACTCAGAAAAAAACATGTACTACCTTTCTTAACAAACAAATAGTGTGCGCTTCCTCACAGTAACATTGCAAAAATCAGGCATATCTTGCCTCAAAATGATGCAGAGAAACTAGTCCATGCATTTGTTACTTCAAGGCTGGATTATTGTAACTCCTTATTATCAGGGTGTACCAAGAAGTCAGTCAAGTCGCTTCAGCTGATTCAAAATGCTGCAGCTCATGTACTAACCAGAGTTAGGAAAAGGGACCACATTACTCCTGTTCTGGCTGCCTTACACTGGCTCCCTATGGAACACAGGATATAATTTAAAATTCTTCTTCTCGCCTACAAAGCCCTTAATGGGCAGGCACCATCTTACCTTAAAGAACTCATTATACCCTACTGTCCTACTAGGGCATTGCGTTCTAAGAATGCAGGGTTGTTGGTTGTTCCTAGAGTCTCTAATGGCGCGTTTCCACTGCAGCGGGTAGCTCGCTTTAAGCGCGCCGAGCCGTGCGGGGCCCGTTTTTGGTTGCGTTTCCACTTGGCCTAGTTTTGGCCCGAGGCTACTTTTTCACCCTTTTTCTGGCCCGACTAAATCGTGGTTCTATCGAGGCTAACAAGCGGGGCCAACAACCGGGCGGAATATGCTAAACTAGTGACGACTCTGATTGGTCAGAGAGAATCGTCACAATTCTCGCGCGACTTAATCCCTAGTGTCGCATATATTAAGGGACGCTTGCAGCATTTTTGTAAACCTAAGAAAATGGCAAAGAAAAACATACCGTGGTCGATTGACGAAGTTGCGACGTTCCTCCAGTTTATTTCTTATCTTTCCTTTTTTTTTTTTATAATGTCATATCTTTTTATGCTGCTGCAATACAAACATTTTTTTATTTTGTATTTGTACAATGCCATGCCTTTTTATGCTGCTGCAACAAATATATATATTTTTTTTATTTCTATTGTACATACAATGCCATGCCTTTTTATGCTGCAACAAAAAACACTTCCCAAATTGGGATTCAATAAAGTACTGTTAAATGCATCATCTGATTTCCTGCCATAATCTGATTAACAAACTGATTTCCGTGAGCATGTAAACAAAGTCACTGGGTTGCCACTCACACACAACATTACAGTTTTGGAATCCAATCATAAACTGAAATGTACAATTAAAGGGCTTTAAATCAGCAGAACAAAAACTCAGATTCACATGAGGCAGAAGTTATAGGCCTATATTTGTCCTAAATAAAAATAGGCTACAACTAATACCATTACTAATAATATTTGTGGATCTTTAAAAACAAAAGCCTACAATATCACTCAAAAACAATTGTAAAAATAGCCCAATTAAGATCTAGATATAAACATACATGCATTTATAAAGCAATAAGAAACACCATCAGTTAGGAAAAAGCCCATAAGATAAAAGTTAATTTTAAGAAGAGATTTAAAGCAAGAAATTGAGTTTGCTTGCTTGAGGTCCTCCTCTAAAACATTATTTGGTAACTGACACATTACTTAAAGTAAAATATTTCCTTTTACAAATAAACTGGAAGAGAAGGGGGATAAGATATCATTTGTATGTATGTTTACTTTCATATTTGCTCAAATGTTCTTATTATGGGGAAGTACTTACTGGTGCTTGAAAATCAAATATTTACTAAATAGTCAATTCTGATAACATTTTTTTGTTTAAATCATTTGACAAACATATGTGAAAGAGAAAAATAGATTTATTTATGTTCAATACAATGTAGTAATAATAAAAACAAAACGTCACTAGCCTTAATGGCCCACAATCTTTCAATGTCGTGTTTATAATTACAAACACAAGAAATGTATATCAACTTACTGAACCATGATGTTATTTACCAAAACATTCAAGTTTCCTGTATACAATGAATATTTAGCTATTCAGGTAGCGTATCAAACTCTGAGCCGGTCGCAAGCTTCCACAGTGCGATGGCCACCCTCTTCTTTAGAGGTATACACTCGCGGAATGTTGTGTCCTGTCTCTCCATCGCTGGCCGCAGTTTGTTGCACAGGTATACGTAGGTTTCCTCAGACATCCTGAAGTTCTCCACCCACTGAGTGTGTGTGAAAGATGGAACAATCACACCCCACCACTCGGTTGCTCGGTCAAGCATCCAAACACATGGTCTGCGGTGGCAACCTAACTTCTGAAATACACAAACAAAAGCATACATATTTTAATACGTAAAAGTGGTAGCTACATTAATGAAATACTTGAAACACTTTTGTCATATAATGAGCGTGAAACACTTTGGTCGTATAGTGAGCGTGAAACACATTGCTAGTTAGCGAACGTTAGCTTACCGAGTAGCGTTGTCGTTGAGTCGTCCTGGAGTAGTCTCTCCCGCGTTGTACGATTGCCATAAGTCTCCCCTCAGCTTCTTCTGTATTACGTCTTGCTATAAGCAGCCTTTTCCGAAACAAAGTTGTCCTTCTTGCTGTGGTAAAAAACCACATACCAAGAAGCAAGGACACGATGGCTTCCACATCCTCCATTGTTGTTGTGTGTTTTGTGAGTTGTGTCGCATTGAAGATGACATCACGGCAGTTGTATGCAGCGTCGCTCCGCCCGCCAAAAAGTTGATCGCCCCGCCTACACTGCGTTACTATGGTAACTACCCCAGTTCCTAAACTGTAATGGAAACGCAGCATTAAAGTGAGCCGGGCTAAACCAAACCGAGCGAGGCCGAGCGAGGCCTGCAGTGGAAACGCGCCATAAAAGTACAATGGGAGCCAGAGCCTTTTCTTATCAAGCTCTACATTTGTGGAATCAGCTTCCAGTTTGTGTTCGGGCGGCAGACACCCTATCCGTTTTAAAGAGTGCGCTTAAGACCTTCCTTTTTGATAAAGCTTATAGTTAGGGCTGATTAGATCCAGACCTTAATTTTGCTGATATAGGCTTAGTTTGTCGGGGGACATCTTACTTCTTCCTTCTCTCTGTCTATACCTGTGTACTCTCATGTTCCGATTAACCCAGCTTCCCCAAATTTCTTTCTTTTTGGTGTCTATATACGCCGGGATCCGGAGTCATGGATGATCCTGCGGCCCTGTGTCCTGGATCGCGAGCCCTGGATCTTGAGTCGTGGCTGTGGTCCTGGATCATAGGTCCTGGATGGATATCCTCGTGGATTCATCTTACTATTATACACACATGCATTTCCAAACATTTGGACTACCTATGTTGCAAATGTATTATCTTTTCAATTTACACACGGCATCTATTGCACGTCTGTCCGTCCTGGGAGAGGGATCCCTCCTCTGTTGCTCTCCCTGAGGTTTCTCCCATTTTTCCCTTTAAACTATGGGTTTTCTCCGGAAGTTTTTCCTTGTACGATGTGAGGGTCTAAGGACAGAGGGTGTCGTATTGTCATTCTGATATTCTGTACAAACTGTGAAGACCACTGAGACAAATGTAACATTTGTGATATTGGGCTATATAAATAAACATTGATTGATTGACAGAGGAGCCAGGGTGAGGCAGAAGAAATAAGGAGAGAGGGCCCATGCAGAGAGGCAGACGTCAGTCGTGAGGAATCAGACCCACAAGTCAAGAGGACAGAGGAGCCAGATCGCAGTGGTGAGGAACGCACTGTCATTTCATTTCACTGTAATTTTACTTTTCACATATCACTTTATTCACTATTCATTTTAGTTATTTATTTATTCAGTTATTTTATTACTGGTACTGCTAATTGCACTATGCGTATTGTTGTATATTGTATATACGTATGTGTTTACTACTACTACTACTACTACTACTACTACTTACAACATCGAGGGTTGTAGCTTTGTGTCAGTTCTCCCTTCCCACCACCCCAGGCTCATTGTGCTAGGTAAAACTCTCATTCAATAAAAGTAGTCTTTTAAAGGTGGGGTAGGTAATTTTGGAGAAACCAGCTCGAGTGCGCTCGAATTTGAAAATACACAGCCGGAAAAAATCTGCCACTTCCTTACAGAGCCCCTCCTCCAACACACACGAACGCGCACATGACCAATGAGGGCACGAGATAAGTTTGTGCACAGATGGAAGGCTGACAGGCAGGTAGGCCATCCAGTTACTTTAGCCGGGCCGGCTAAAATAATTGGTCGTGCTTTTTACAGTACTACGGCTTCCACAGATGACATTTCTTTATGGATTTTTTGTCAAAGCATTTAAGATATTCATTGCTATCGGGATGTTAAGAGCATTCCATGGAATATAACACAAAGTATATCTCGAGCCGGTTTCTCAAACTTACCTACCCACCTTTAAAGATGAATGCAATTACATTTTTAAAAGTTTTAAACAGAACTGTGACAGATGCTTGATCCAAATTCCATAAAACATACCAACCAATAGCGCCACACTCAGACGAAAATGTACAAAGCCTATTCTTCCACTATTTGCATTCCCACATTATTCACCAAGCCAGCCCATGCTTTAATATAGATATTATGGATATTGTTATAATTCCTGCTGTCTTTTGTGAACTTCTAATTATTTGTAATTGTTATGTATTGTTTGTATTGTCATGTTCCTGCTGTGTTTCATGTTGCTGCTACTTGCCTGCCCCACCACCACCCCAGCTTCCACCTGTAGGCTCGGGGATAGTTATCTAATCATCACTCAATGTTCTTTGTACATCTGTGGAGTGATGAGGCCCGAGCCTAGACGCCAAACTATATGCTGCTTCTAATAAACATATTAAGAACACGTGAGTTGTCTGACTGAACTTCCATCTTGTACTCACCCGACCGAAGAGCTTTGTCCGATGTTCAAGCATGCTGACAAAAGCTTGCTATGGCGTTCCAGGGGCAGTGATCTTGAGATCTTCGTAGGTAGTGAACAAATCCACTGCGTACAAGGTCTCAAAATTGACAGTGGCTGGCCAATAGCCACTTTCAACCAGCCACTTTCAACCAGATCACCTCTGCCTATCGACCAAGTCTTTCCACAGGTGCAGTTTAGTTGTGGAAGGAACAGATTGTATCGCCCTGAAATTTAAAGAGACAAATCATTACTATGATACAGTATCAATTACAAACAATAAATGGTTTCTATTGAATGGTAGTTTCATACATTTACAGGGCTCTCAAGTTTTGAACAGAGTTCAGAGTGAGATTTTGGCAGCGGTGGGGACGGTGGTCTTATCTGATAAATGACACATAAATTCATACAAATAAAAACATATTTATTTCATTCTTAGTGAAGACACACATTTTGTGTGTGTGTGTGTGTGTGTGTGTGTGTGTGTGTGTGTGTGTGTGTGTGTGTGTGTGTGTGTGTGTGTGTGTGTGTGTGTGTGTGTGTGTGTGTGTGTGTGTGTGTGTGTGTGTGTGTGTGTGTGTGTGTGTGTGTGTGTGTGTGTGTGTGTGTGTGTGTCAGTGTTTTTTGTTGTAGGTGTTGGTGGCAGTTTTTGAGGCCTTCAGCACTGGGGTTGGTGGCTCCCATCTGAAACAGTTTGGTTCCAGGCCTGCCATCTTCACTGTCATGATGGAGGACAGTGTTCCATCTAGGGCCAAGCTGTTCCTAGTTTTTGTCTTGTTCAGTCCAAACATCGAGAAAACCCTCTCCGCGTCGGCATTAGAGTGAGGGAGCAAGTTGAGCTATTTTAGTGAGCCTCCCAAACTGGCTCAAACCGGTCACCTTTAAAACAAGGAACCAAGAGACTCTATTACTCAAATGCTTTGCTTTTGATTTCAATTGATTATGTGTATGTCATGTGGTGCCAAATATTTATTACCTTGCACTTGATTGAGGACATACTCCCCCAAAACTCCTCAACATTAAAGGTGGTGGGATCTTGGGGCATGGGGATATCCATCAGCTGATATTCCAGGAACTCCTCACACACCTTGTCCTGTTCCTCCGGCCCATGGATAGTAGTTCCTGAAATCTAAAAAGAGCACCATGTGTAAAGAACTGATTAATGTATTCAATCAAAGTATTGAAATCCTGGAAAATGTGAAACCCTTACCTGTCTATAAAGTAGGGATGCTCCGATCGATCGGTCACCGATCGATATCGGCCGATACTCACTCTCTACCGATCGATCGGTGCTCTCTAAACATGCCGATCGCGAGAGCCGATCGCATGACGTAAAATACATGACACTTTTCTCTGTGTGCGGCAAAACAAGCTCGCCAAAATGGCTTCACCGGTCTGGCATTATTTTAAGGTGTCCGAAAAAGACAATAAAATAGCGGTATGCAACGTGTGTGAAGCAGAAATCCTGCAGCTCCGCCCGCCGGACAGGTAAGCGCAGCGAAACACACACACAGGGAGAACCAGACCGCAGTTAATTTCCTCATATTCCAAATGAGAAATTACGGTAGCAAATCACCCGGTTCTTTACGACCAGAACTATTAACGGGATACAAACTGGAGGAACCAGGCATGGAGGGAGGTGGCAGAGACAGTGGGTGAAACTGGTAAGTTTTCACCTGTTTGGGGAGTTTATATATATATATATATTGCTCGCATAAAATCCCCGGGGTTTTTTTGCTTTGTATGTCGGGGGCGGGAGATTCATGTGATTGGTTGTTGGTCGCGTTGCTCGCAAAAAATCCCCAAGCTTTCAGACACGCCCAGCTCCAAGATTTTCAAGATTTTTGAAAAGCTGCTGTGTGGACGTACCGTAAGAGTTAGACCTAACACACGTAGCTATTTTATCTACCTCTGGAACAAGCTAAACTAGTTATTATAAATATATTTATTCTTCATTGTCGGGTCACTCATTACTGGATCAGTGAGCTGCATGAGATACTGACAGGCTGTCAGGAGAGGGAGAGAGGGGGGAGGGAGAGAGGAAAAGAGAGCGCTTCCGCTAATTTCTCCCGTGTTATTATCCAAAGTGAATGTAAACTTGAATAATGTACATCATTTGAATGTAATAATTAAGTTGATTGTCGTTTGTGGAAGCTCCAGTGAATGAGCCCCATTAACTGAGTTTTAAATGGAAGATTTAAAGTGATGTTTAAATCTTCCATTTAGGCCCCGCCCACTCGATCGGATCGGCGATCGGTATCGGCCGATACTGATTCCGGCCCCGAAATTGGCGATCGGAACATCCCTACTATAAAGTATAAGGCATCTTCCACTCCACACTCAGTCCTCTGCTGCACATCCACAAATCTTGTATGCCTCAGAAGAGCCTCCTTCAGAGGGAGTTTATTGATGCCATACTCCACAGCCCTGACCAGAAATGCCAGTGCTGCCTGTTGGAATAGATGCACCTCCTGAGGTGTGATGTCTCCAGCCTCAAGGAACCTATTGAGGGTAGCTCTGGTGGTGAAGCCAACATTTAGTTTTTCTCCTACCAGACAGAAATAGATAGAGAAGCAAATTAAGTCCAGGTAGTTTCAACAATATGCATCAGGTCGAGACAGGGATTTCACTTGGCAATTTAACTCAAAACTAGACAAACAGTCAGTGTATAGATTCAGTCTGTCTAGTTTTGAGCACTATGTGCACAATAAGTGCAAGTGGTTGAAGGTATTCCTCTATGTAAGCATACCATTTTACCCATAAACTACACAAGCATGGTATGCCTACACACATTTATGCTTTTTAACAGCCATAACAGAGATATCACCCAACTCGCCCAATAACAACAATCTTCCCAAAAAAGTATATTTGAGGTCAATGAGAATACAGGTGTATCTCCTCATATGAAACTTTTACCTGGCAGTTGGTTTAGTGGGTCCTTGTAGAGGATGTCATGGACTTGTCGGCCCTGTAGTGCTGACGGCTTCATGAACCACGCACACAGTTTCTTGATGAACTTTGTCATCTGCAAATTTGTAGTTCATAAAACATTTCCATGTATTACTTGAAAAAGGACATATCAGCCAATTCAAGCAGACATACTGTATTTGGCAGCAGGATGGCCTAACCCTTGCATTTTACCTCTCCGTGGAGCTGAAAGATGGAAGACCTTTCTCTCTGGAAGAGGAGGTTCAGTAGGGTGAACACTGGCAGCGTCGCTTGATAGAAGAGTAGGTAGACTTCAGTCAGGGGGTTGGAAAATGCATCCACCAGCCTTCTAAATCTTGGTTGTTTCTCATCTGTAAATAAACACAGTCAGTGCTTAAAAGTACACATTTAGTCTGGTGTAATGCACCTGTATTACTGTCAATGAAACAAACAACATACTTAAAGACTTAAAATAGCTGGTAAGTGGCCCATACTGTCGCATAATTCGTTTGATGCACCTCTCCAGGCTTAACCATCGCACTGAAATGTGCAGCAGCATTTCCATGTACTCGCTCTCATGGAATTCATAACATTATGGAAAATATAAAACATAACATGAACAGTAAACAAATTAAAAATGTCTGCATTTTGTTGTATAACAGTAGAGCTGGTTGAATCACAAACCTGCCAGGTAACCTTTACGGTTGGTGCTTCCTTTAAACCAGTACCCAACATCCTCGGTCAGATCCTCTGGATCAAATCCGGATATCTGCAATACATGAATTCAAGTATCTATTGCAACACTATCAGCAAACTGTTTTACATGGCATTGGGCTTAACGGATTGGTAATATAGAGAGTACATGTTTGAACTTACTTCCATAAACTTCTGCCCCGCATGTTTGGCAGTGTTGTGGATGATATGACAGGGGCATCCATGGATGTAAATACTGCCATTTTCCTTCAACATTCTGGCTGAGATTGAATTTCTGGCACCTGTATTTACAGGGGCATTGTCAATAGAGAGACCTACACAATTTCTCCAAGGGATGTCATTTTCCTGCAAGGTGTCATTGATTTTTGTGTAGATCACTTCAGCGGTGCCACAGCTCCGCCCACTGGTGGTGCACATATCAAGGAACCTGTGCACAACTTTGTTGGTGTCAAAGATTCTGACAGTGAGAGGATTCATCTTCTCTAGACCTGTAACAATAAGGACCATAACTAAAACAATATGTTGTTCAAATTGTATGAGTGCATGTAGAAATGGATAAAAAATAAGTACTAATTACTGATAGAAGTTGTTAAGCACATACCAGTATCATTCGAGCCATCTGTGACAAGTGTGAAGGGATTCTCTCTCATCTTCATCACCAGTTCCTTCTTAAAATGAGGTGCCACTGCTTCATTTATGAGGCACGTTGTTTTTGTGCTTGCGCTCTTAAAGCCCTGAGCTGTAGGGGAGTCTCTAAAACATTCTTTGTACAAGGGGCTGAAATGGTCAGCAACGGCAAAGGGAACATTGTGCTGCACCATTGCAACAGCAACCTTCACCTCAGCCCTCCTGGTCTGCAACAGAAACAACTGATTACATACCTCATAACCTTAAATACGTTTTCAAGGTAATATGACCATCAATTTGAAGAGAAATGTAATTCATCAAACATTGCCGCCAGCTTTTTAGTTTTCCTGTGCTACACTATACTGTATGTACCTTGGCCTCTTGTACACTCATGCCTCCAACAGAAGTTTCTGGCACGTAGAACTGTGCAATACTGCTGACTGAGTTTAGAGACTGTTCTTTGGCCCGATGTCCCTTGCCTTCCACATGCCTGCTTATGTCCCTCACGCCTTGATGAGCACATGAGTTCTCTTGTCTGCACACTGAGCACCAGTAGAAGGAGCTGGTGGTTCCCATTGTGATGAATGGCCATCGAGTTGACCACTCCTTCTTAAAAGGAACACCTATATGTGGCTGCTCCACATAATCCTCTCCTTTTCTCTGTTTCCAATGGGTTCTCCCCAGTCTCCTCCACTGCCTCCTCTACTGCCTCCTCCACAGTCTCCTCTACTGCCTCCTCTACTGCCTCCTCTACAGTGTCCTCTGACCTGGTCACCTTTTAGGGAGCTGATTGTTTTCAAAGCATGAAAGAATGCTTAGTTGCCTCTTTCCTGACATCTTTGAAAGACAAATGCAATAATTATTAATATGCTTTGTTTTCTGATAAAATATACACACACTCACGCCAGGGATGGAAATGAACACCAACCATCAGCCAAATGCTGGTAAAACATAACAGTGGCTGGTAGATTTTAAATACATAATACAAATGTACCATTGGTTTACTACTGAATGGCTGGTAGATTTTCCCCAGTGGCTGGTAAATGTTCATGTGTTGTGTAAATATTCAAATGTTTTGAAAAATTAATTTCCAGGCCTGGCGCGCGCACACACCGGGAAAATAGGAGACACAGGGACAGTCCAACAAGGGAGCAAATAGCCTTGGTGCTTACTACAATAACAATAACAACAATGATAATAATAAATAACAATAATAATCATTATAATAAGTTAGTGTAGGCGCAAAATTCCGAAGAAAACAAGCGTCAGAATAGCTGCTGAAATTAGCTAGCAGGGATTCAACCGGCTAGCTAGGCTAGTTCATGCATACTCTAGTCTAGTCAGTCAAACTGTTAGCTAAAAGCTCCCTGGACATATATTCCATAACAACGGAAATCAATGATGAGATGACTTACTGTACTGAAAATATGGTCTTCTCCCACGTCGAGCAGTCTGTAGCCACGCAAAATGTCAGTGAGTGACTATGTGACAGCCGTCCTCTTTGGTTACTCTTCAGCGAGCGTCTTAATCATTGGAATGGAATCAGAATGTAATGTTGTAGCGGAATGTCTAAATCCTACCCGGATACAGCCATGTTATTTTCTAATTGGCTATTCGACAGCTTACATTCTTTTGATTGGTTGATGCGTGGCTACAGTGATTATGTACTAGTTTGTTTACAAAATTGCGGCGCAACTTGGAAATAAATCTCTGCGTGAGAAATACAAGGTGTGGCGTGTGAGCGTGTGAATGGAGTGAAATGCGTGTGTCTCACGCCAAATGCGTGAGACTTGAGAGCTTTGCATTTCTTTGATTTAATTGGTGATAGTTTAAATTACGTGTGACAAAGAGCTAAAAATGCATTTGAATCCCTGGCTCAAAAGTGGAATAAATAACAGCACAAAAAACAAAGAGAAAAGTCTTGAAATGTTCTTACCATTAATTCCAATCAAAATTACTTCCTTTCCTTTGGAAATACTTGTTTGCCCAGTAGCACAATCGCAGCAGGGATGCATTATCGGTATGAAGCATTCTAGAAAGCAACAATTGAAATAGTCAATTAGAGTTATAGGTAATTTATTATTAGCGTTTTTTTTAACCTAATTTACTAATAGTAGTATATACTATAAAGTCCTGTGTGACTTGTAGTTTAAAAAGTACCTCTTTCATGGTATGAGAACTTTCCTCCCTCATCTTCTGTGATGTGAGTGGATGGTGACAGTGGCCTTAAGAACCCTTCTACCATAGAAGATCTGTTGTGGAGTACACTCGATTGGTGTATGGTAACATCACAGGCAGTACAGGAAAGAGGTCTTGGCAAACAATCTTGACATGTGACGACTGCAACCTTTTGTCGACAGTGTTGGCAAACCCCCTCTTTAGGTTTCTCAGAAGATAATATCTGATTAACCATAAAAGGCCTTAACACCGTCCACTTTTCCAAGGTGGATGCTTGTCGTTCCTTCCACTGTGAAGAGGGAGGTTCTTCACTAGGAATTCCTAGAACTTCTTGTACCTCTTGTATGAAGGAGCCTTAAAAATGAAGTAGAAAAAGTACATATATAAAGCAAGGGTAAATCTAGCTAACCACTACATGATAAGTTGGGAAACAATCATCATTAAGCATAGGAAAAACATACCTAAGCTTTGGATGGTCCCAGTCTCGCTCTCTTGACAACTAGTAGAGTACATACAAGATCTACGCTTCTTGAAGCACCTGCAAAAGAGTGAAGATGCATTTAATAACTTGCTTGAAGAAAATGTGAATTTATTTATCTACAATTAATTTATGTAAACAACAAACAAAATAAAAACACAAACCAGTGACCGAACTCCGCTTCCGTTTATCTCCAGTTCGCCTCCTTTTTGGCATTGGTTGACCGTCATGGTCCTCCTCAGGGCCAAACCATTGGTGCTGTCCTTGTTTGCGACCCTCCTGCTGTTGGTTTACTTTGATCCTCCTTTAAAATCATAATCAGGACACAGAACACATTTACTTAAAACTTAAATCATCACCTACACATTATGATAATCTCATTATGAATTGTACTGCTAATATCGCTTCTGAGACTTTCTGCCCGGACTTTAAAACGTAGCCTATTTAAAGAACTTCCTAAAACTCATAATTGCCCTATAGATGTCAATTAATGCCTGTTTGTCTGTCCCCCAGTCACATCATGTCACCGCTCTTAATAGGTTCAGAACCTTTTTGGAATTTGTTTCCAAATGTTTAATATGGGTTTTCCATGTACATTTACTATCTAACCATAACCCCAGATATTTAAATATTAAATATCGGCTTTCCATATAAGGTAAGCTTCTCAGTCTCCATCTTACGTTTATTTGTAAATGTCATGTAGCAAGATTTGCTTGCTGACAGCTTGAAACCCCAATTGTATGACCACTTCTCCGCTTTCTTTATAGATTTGCCTATCTTCTCAAACACATATGGTACATTTCTTCCCCTCATCTATATAGCCGTCATCTGCATACAGCGCATATTTGATGCATCCGTCCAAATTAGTGAATATGTCATTTATCATAATGTTAAACAATATCGGGCTGATTGAACTCCCTTGGGGAATACCATTTTCTATATTGAACTCTTTCGAAACCTCTGCCCCTACTTGGACTCTGAATTTCCTGTCTGTTAAAAAAGCCATGATCCAGTTAAACATTCTCCCTCCAATACCCATTTCACTTAATTTGATGAGTAACCCATCCCTCCACATAGAGTCATAAGCCTTTTCAATGTCAAAATATACTATTGTCATAACCTCTTTCATTTTCAGTGTATTTTCCACCTCATTGCTTACTCTAACTAAAGCATCTATTGTGGACTTTACGAAAACCACTCTGAAAATTACTCAGTAATCCTCTTTGTTCTAAAACGTGTGATAGTCTTTGCACTATCATCTTCTCCATCCATTTACACAAGTGTGATGTTAATGCTATGGGTCTGTAGTTACTAGAATTAGAAGGATCCTTCCCTGGCTTATTAAATGGTAGCATTTTCCAACTACTTGGCAAAACTCAGTTTCTCCAGATTTTATTAAATAGTCTCAGGACTAATTTTAAATGAACAACTCTGTCGGCTTTGTCTCCCTTGAGGGAGTGATCAGCACCAGGAGTGTGGGTCTCCACACCTGCTCCCAATACTGCTAATTGGGAGAGGGTGGAGCCACCTGTTAGGAACGTAGGTGCCTCCCACTACCCTGCCTCTCAGCTCCTTACTATTATACTATATACTATTGGAGGAATATGCTTGAAAAGTACACACAAGAACAAATAGATTGTTTCACCCCTAGAAGAAAAAAAAAAAGCAAGGATAACATATGAAGGAAAAAACCTGCGGTTTCAGAGTAACTACTCTACTTGATGTTCCTTTAAGATTGAAAATGAAGAGAACGCAAAAGGGAAAAAGGAGTGCCAGCTCTTGGATGTTTTATGCCTACATTCAAATAATCATGACGTTCAACCAACAGATGGTGTTTTCATGTGTTGTTCCATTTACTCCCAAGATGGAAAATTACAAACAGTTACAGGTGAAAAAACGTCCTTAAAAGGAATGTTGATTTTCATGTTTGATAGATTCATCCCATGCATATTTTTTTTCGCAGTTATGAATTGGACCTCCCAAAGAAGCAATGTGTTTCATCAATATTTGAATGTGGAATAGTACAGCTTGCTTTCTGGAAGTAGAAATAGGAGATGGATGTATTAAAAGGCTTTGCACTAAAAACAGAGCTGTTAATTAGCTGAATTATATCCTTTCCCTCATAAAACAACCAGATTTTAAAGTGTAATAGTATGAAGAAGGGATGATAAAAAAGATTCAAAAACTGCCAAAGAGTTCAAGAGGTATACAAACATGTTGAAGAAAGACTCATCTCAGTAAACAACTTCCAACATGTGACTTTTGGTTAACATAGTGTATGTCTATGTCTCCATTTACACAGACAGCCAACAGAATGGTTAGTCTGGGAGTGCAGATGCATCAGTAACACTGTCAACTGTTTGCCCATACTCCGGTCATGAGCTGTTCAACACTCTGTGAAGTTATCATGGCGCTCTATCAAGGTTTCCACTTTGTAATCAGGCAGCTGCAGTACTTCTGTCCAGCTTTTGTATTCACCATCGCACCCTCTGACTAACCCTCGTTGGTCGTCCAACGTTTGGTAGGTCTTTGTTCCAATCATCAGCCCTTGCAGTAAACGTTTCCTTGGGCAAGATGCCTAACCCCAAATTGCTCGACATGGCATCGCCAACGATGTGTGAATTTTAGTCTCCCTGAGCAGACCCCACCATGTATGGCAGCCTCTCTCTCTCTCTATGAATGTGTGTGAATGATGACTTGTATATGTAAAAGCGCTTTTTGGGGTGACAGAGTCTAGAAAAGCGCTGCACAAATGCGTCCATTTACCATTTGCTGAAATCGCAGTAGATGCGATATACAGATGTAGCACCTCATTTTGTACGCCCCTACCCATGTGGGTCCGTGATCTGCACGGGGTGGGCCCCTGCTGAAAGGAAAACCCCCCCGCAGGACTTGATACGCCCCCTTGATAAATATATTTAATTATAATGAAACCAGCTGCAATGGATCATGGATCCACCAGGGGGAGCAGTGATTAAAAAGCTGCCACACTGGAACTCATGTGAAATAAACAGCTGATAGATCTACAGTACAGGTATCTGATATAGTGGATATTTGTTAAGATCCATATGTCACGGATAGGATCATATTATGTGCTAAATAAGAGACATGTAATCATTTACAAAACATCCCCATGTTTTTATTTAACAAAATAATGTTGTTTAATCCACGTTGGCGTACTACACAAAACCATCGGTTTGTTTTTTCATCAGGAAATGCAGACTGGCTCATACAAACGATTTGTAATCATCATCCTCGCGATCATTTAATCATCATATGTTTGCCGAATTTACATGAAAGCACTAATAAATGTGGTTTAATCCACGTGAGTTTACAACTACAAAAATAATCGGTTTGTTTTTATATCACATCCGACGGGAGGAAATGCAGCAGCTCTCACTACCGATTTTTAATCCTAATTTAATCATCATCTTCATGATCATTTATGTTTATGTTCGCTGAATTGACATGAAAGCACCAACAAATATGAATACACTGTAGTCAACTTCATTAAAACGTTATTAACTTGCCCAAACTCAGTAATTCACTAAAAGCCTCGTCACCTCACCATGGGCAGACGGCTATAATATTATACTATTGTTAATAGTTTACTGTATTATTAGTGTTTAATATTACTGCTATAATAATCACACATTGAATTCATTGTTGTGCAATGTTAAAATCAGACCTTTTTTTTTTAATTTCTTTTTTTAAATAGGCTGAATGAAACGGCAGCTCTCAGGTGATCAGGTGTGTTACACACCTAATGGCCCATCAGCCATGGCCCCCACCCCCCTCTGAGTGACAAGCTTACAGTTAGCTGTCTTTAGGCGCATTCACACCGCAGTACTTTTCCCACAAAGGTTCATGAGAACTTAGTTCATGAGAACTCTTTAGTTCTCATGAACTAAGTACGGATCGCGTTCACACCGGAATAAGTTCCTGGGGAAGGATTAGGCAAATGAAGCCGCTGACGTCACTTCTTCTGTTTTGGGTTTACTGGCAGGCCGCTAACAACTTCTCGGCGTATACTGCCACCCGAAGTCCGCGGCCGGAAGTCCCCGGAGTTGGGGACTGGCTTCAGTAGAAGAAGTACTGAAGCCTTCCGAGTAAATCGCCAGAACTCCGACATCTCTACCACTCCCATGTTTTATTTTGTGTTGCCATAAGTTAGTCTCTCTGCGTTTGTGCGCTGGGCTAATGCTAATGCGAGGATAATAAAACGGCGGCTTCACAAAACCTTTTTTGAGTTTTACGGGGCGTGGTTTGCACTCCGCCCAGCCAATCAGACATAGGAACCTTTTTCTCCCACGAAAGTACCTGCTCTCCAGCAGGGACGGAAAAGGGGGTAAAAAAGGTTCTGATGAACAAATGTTAGTTCCGGCTCTTTTTGGTGTGAACATCATCATCATTTCGGAACTATATCGGAACTAAAGTGGGAAAAGTACTGCGGTGTGAACGCGGCTTTTGTGTATTGCAACCAGGGAGAGCAGTGATGGACGCTGCCACAATGAAATTCATATGAAATAAACAGCTGATTCCTCACACACACAGTAGCCTGTTGTTTCTATGCATAAAATAGTGAGAAACATGCCTCTGGTTAATTATTATAGAACTTAGTTTCTCCATAAAAGCTGGTGGGTTGAAAGCAATACGGGAATTGAGATGCCGTGGCTTTATCTGACAGCATACTTACATTTATGGCCCGGGACACACATATGTATTTAGATATGTTTTAAACAAGTTTAAATAAAAGGCTGGAGTGTTTCTTGCTCTGCCATGGTACAACAAGTGGGATTTATCTTGTATTACTATACTGTAGCATATCGTTTTTGATTCCCACTGTCACGGATATAATCATATTCTGCATTGAATAAGATACATTTAATCATTCAAAAAAAATCATATTTAGTTTATTTTTAACAAAATAAATGTGGTTTAATCCACATAATTTACTGTGTTAATTGTTTACTGTATTATTGTTTAACTTGAAGGTGCCTGATGTGAACATTTCCAGAAGAACGTCTAGCTTGAATTGCTTTTCATATTTATACAGTACAGTATAGCCCAGGGGTGCCCCGGGAGATTCCCAGTCGATCGCGAGATGTGTCTAAAAATAGAACAACAATATTCAGTTTTATCGTTAATGTCCTATAACATAATCTTCCTGTGCCAGAATAATGCACTTGAACGTATCAAAGCTTTGTGATCGGCCGGCGTGACCCCATGTGTCGGGGCGTGGGCAGTGGGCAGTAGTTCGCTGACGTTGTCCGTGTCAACAGGAGTGACAGTCCGCACACACACAAGACCGCAATTATGGCAGAAGCAAAAAAGGCCAAAATATATAATTTTCACTCCGAGTGGGAGGATGATTATTTTGTTATCTATTCCAATTCAAAGTCCATCTGTCTCATCTGCAATGCAAGCGTGGCTTTATCGAAGAAGGGTAATTTAGGAGCTGCATTTCAAAACAGTGCACAAACGCTACGAGACGGAATTCCCTCCTAATTCTCGCCTACGCTCCCAAAAGGTGAGGGGCCTGAAAGGACAGCTAAATGCACAGCAGTCCATTTTCACCAGGCCCAACAACAAGAGCAAGGCTGCTACCTTTCAGTTCCCCCCCAACAATTTGTATTGAAATAAATCAACATGGAACCATTAATCACTAACTTTGTTTCCCCCGGCCCCTTATCGGAGAAAACCCAGCTAGTAACCTAGCAACAGTCAGAAAATAGGTATCTTCGAATCTACTTACAAATAAATATGGGGAAGTGTAAGTTCAACCGTATTTGGTTGGAAAACATCGCATTTAGTGCTTGGTTGAAACCAGTGGAGAGTAATGTGTTGGAAGCCCGCCGCACCTTTTGCAAACAAAATAAGCGTTTGTTTTGCTAATGTAGAGTTAGCTAGTGCAGCTACTCCCGCAACAACACCGGGGGACCTCCGGGTCACATTTTAGTCTACGTCAACCCTAAAAGCGGAGGTGCTGTGGACGCGCGGACACACACACACAGCACACACACACACACACACACACACACACACACACACACACACACACACACACACACACACACACACACACACACACACACACACACACACACACACACACACACACACACACACACACACACACACACACACACACACACACACACACACACACACACACACACACACACACACACACACACACACACACCACACACACACCACACACACACACACACACACACACACACACACACACACACACACACCACACACACACACACACACACACACACACACACACACACACACACACACACACACACACACACACACACACACACACACACACACACACACACACACACTTTCTATTGTTCAGAGGTTGTTGTGTTTAATATTCATGAGAATATTTGTCATTGTCCAAATGATAATAAACATTAGCATAAAGCATATTTGTCCACTCATATGTTGATAAGAGTATTAAAAACTTGAAAAATATTCCTCTAAGGTGCATTTAAAACAGATAAAAAATGTGCGATTAATTTAAGATTAACTATGGACAATCATGCGATTAATCGACTGACAGCCTTAGTCTTCTGTTATAAACATTCTTAACACAATATTAAACAGTAATATCAACAGTAAATATATTTTTAAAGCATTTTTCAAGTGATTTGTCTTTATAATATTATATCATTTTGAACAGTAATGAACAATTAACATATGTTTAGCATTTTTTAAAGCTACTTATGCCTTAATAATATTCAACAGTAATATTAAAAATAAACATTTATATTCATATATATATATATAAACAACAGTATTTGCTACACCCGTGCTCTCATCCAGCTGCAGAGCGAAATATTCACTAGCTCTCACTTGCTCCAAAAGCTGAGCAGATACTCAAGAGGCTTCTCAATACTCAAATTTCCCCTCCTCGACTGCTCGACTCCTCGGTCCTCCGGTAGTGACCCGGAAATGAATTTCAGAGCGCCATTTTGAAGGACGTCTCATTTCTCTATGCACACCGAGGACCGAGCATCGAGCGTCGAGGAGGCTCTCTGGAGGAGCTATAACCGAGGATACACTGATGGTTCCTCCACGGATGCATTTCCGGGAACGGTGGAGGCGTGACGCACGGCCGGACTTATCTCAGCCAATGACAGCTATGCATGCATCCCGTGGATATTATTTTAGAAACTGCTCTCATCGCGTCGCGATGTTTCCAGAGAGAACAGCTGTAAGGTCCGTGCAGAAAGCAGAGCAGTGTGTATAATATATATCACTCAGTATAACAGGCTTACTCTCTTTATTTGCTTTAGTTTAGTAGATATCTACAAACAAAGAGTCGATATTTTTCTAAGACCATTGCTTCACATAATAAAATATACAACGGCTTATGCTTTAGGAGCTGTAGGTGTGTGTGGTACAGTGCGTAAATGCGGCGGACAGACGGGTCTCAGTTGGTTTGGTGTCCTCTGCTTACTTTTAATACTTGTAAATACAACTTTTGGCCCGTAATTTAAATTCCCCATTTCAGCGACCAGAGAGAGGGGGGGATATATCCAGTCTCTGATTGTGTTACGTTATTATGAGAGTGCTCTCATACTTTAAAAATTGTATATATTTATATAAATATATTTGTGTGTGTGTGTCCGCATCTGTAGCCTGTTATTGTCTCATTATACCGCACTCTCAATGAATTCAAAGTAAATATGTGGGGGAACCATGTTCAGCTGATCTAACAGAGATACAGTGCTATGACAAAACACTCGACAGCTGATGCAGCTGTTGCCACGTAATAATGAACGGACGTCTCTTTAAAATGACCGCTCAGAGGAGAGGAGTTCTCATTTCTTTAAACATCTGCTGCTTCCCCTCCTCTCTCCTCGGTTCCCCTCCTCGGTCCTCCGCTCGCATCTCCTGTGGGCGGGTCTAAGTCTCGAGGAGGGGAACCGAGGAGGGGAGTTGAGGAGGGGAAATTTGAGTATTGAGAAGCCTCTTCAGTTTCACTCTCAGAAGTGGCAGCTCGATTCTGATTGGCTTGAAGAGCGGTCGTGTGATTTAAAAAACAAATACAATATTAATAAATTAATATATTAAAATATTGGCATCAAATTAAACAGATTGATAGATATGCAGTTATTAATAACATCTAAAAAAAAAAAATGTAACTTTAAAAAAAAAAAAATCCCCTTTCCCGCAAACTTTGCGTGACCCCCCTGGTGGCCGCCTTTGAAAAACACTGCTCTAGGGCAGTGGTTCCCAAACTTTTTGTGCCCAAGGCACACCAAAGGACAAGTAAAAATCTCAAGGCACACCTATTGTGCAAAATAGCCCTTATAACACGTGTTATCACTCATATCATGTAAAATATCTGTAAATGTACATAATTATTTCCTAATGCCAAATACAATGTGACAAAGACAACTATATTACTCATGAAATATTTATTAACGAAATATCTCAGAAATTAATTTGAAACTTTACCAAATTAGGCTTCATCAAAGCAGCAACACACTCATTTAAACCAGACAGGTCACAAAATAAAAAATGAGGCAAAGGAAACTCAGCAGAAATTCAGCACAGAGAACTGTCAATGCAAGGAAGCTGCATTGTCCATGGTCCTGAACTAAAATTATAAATGTAACATTTCAGCAATCAGCATTGAAACATGTGCTATTGTAAATATTTTGCCGACTTACAAATTAGTGAGATACATGTGCCTGTCGGGGCGCGCATCATTTTTTAATCCTTGGTGGCACTGAGGAGCGGGCCACTCGCAAGTCCTGTTCAACTGAGAGCCGTGACCTCCTGTTGTTCTTCATGTAAATCAGAGTAGAGAACGCCAACTCCAGAGATGGGGTCGTTACTAAAAAAAAGTAATATATTACTTTTAAAAAGTAATATATTACACTACTTCGTTACTATCTACATAAAGTAACTCGTTACTTTACTTGTTACTTTATTCGCCGAGCACGTACGAACTGCGCATGCGTGAGTTGCAATAACTTTCCTTACCAGCAGGCGGCGGTAGTGTGTATTTGTCATTCAAAACAGGCAACAACCGGAAGACAGAGAAGAAGAACAGACTACGTGATATCAACAAACAACAAATAGCGTGTGCGGTAGCTTCACCTTAGCATGTGTTCTTTGCAGGTGTTTGTTGAGGTTTGACCACGTGGTGTTTCCAGCAGTGGATAACAGCTTCTGGCCTGGGGCCTGTACTATGAAGCTGGTTCAACCTAACCTGGATATGTTTGAGTTAGCCGGTTGGCCTAATCCAAAACATACGCGCTCTCGCTAAACTGTACTACGACGCGGGTTATCAAGTGGATCGCTCAAACCAGTCGTGTCCTATCTAGTTAGGTGCGCGTTCACATGAAAGGGGTGGTATTTGGAGCATTCGACCAATCACAAACATGGAGAAGCGTACTGACAGCGCAACGTCATACTTCCTGAACGAAAAGTCAACTATAATATTAGACATATGAAGAAGTTAAACTTTAAACATCCATGACTCAAACACTTTATCCAGGATAAAAGCCACATAGCTACACCTGCAAGGTGAATACAGCTGGTAAAAGAAAAAAGTGTTTGAATGCGTACATTAACAGGTTTATGATATCACTGCCCCGTCTAAAACACGATCTGACTTTAATTACATTTGTCTCGAGTGTTTTGTCAACTTAATGTGTTGCTTAAAATAATACTTCTGCATACAGTATGTGACACTGTGAGTGTTGCACGGCCAGATACGGCTCAGCTGACTCAGATAAGGAAATATATGATACATTATGATGTGATATGCCGCGGACTGTACTTAATGTTACTCTGATCCGGTTACTTATGTTGTGGCAGATATTTAAGTAAGCTTTCTTAACGCTAATGTTATAATAGTCAGATTGCTCTGAAGATGGAGGTGATATTCTATTAATGTTCACGTTCACACAGTCGGTGATTTTTGCCGGCCGTCTTTCCTGCAACGCCAGCTTTTCCTGTAATATGACTTGATCGCTTTAAACTCCGCACACTGAGCTCTGATTGGTCAGCAGGCAGTGCTTTCACTGAGTTGAGCTCTTAGCCTGCAACTCTAACCTGGTCCCGACCAGGTTAGCCGCACAGCATAAGTTACCATGGAGATCTAGCCTGCTAAAAAGAGAACCAGCTTCGTAGGACCGAAAACCCCGAGTTTTCCCTGAAGTTAGCCGGCTAAGCGAAAATCCTGCTTCGTAGTATACCCCCCTGGACACAGTTTGCACCTCACCGTCACATTTCTGTCTATTCTTCGGACAAACTCAAAATAATGGGCATACCCCTCGAAAGTTATCGCTGACTCAGCCATGTTTATGCAGCACTGCACGTGGAGATGTGGACGCACAAGTCGCGCAGATTACGTACATATAAACCTACAAATTACTGATATAGTAAATTAAAAAATAATTATTTTTGTGTAGTTGTATATTGCAATAATAGCGTATGGTTGTCACAAAATCCCACGGCACACCGTTTGGGAACCACTGCTCTAGGGTGTTAACATGTTAACGCTGACAGCCCTTAAATACATATTTAGAAGGCAAGGTAGAATTCAATTTAAAAACATGTATTGTATATTAATGTATTCAATGCAGTTAAGCATTTGTTATGTATAGCTACAATCTCAAAATCAGCAGTATTGGTACAGTTCAGCACATTTGCAGAGCATAGGCCAGAGGAAATGTACTATAGAAAGTGGGATAATTTGGACTGACTAACTCTCTGCCCTTTGGCGCTGGGATGATGAAATAAGCGCTATTGAACGCATCACGCCCCTGTGAGCTACCCTGAGCTCAATAGGGGATGTTTTAAAGGTCAGGGTGCAGCACTTAATCTGGAGAGAGCTGCAAAAGAGCCAGCATGAAGGCCAAGGAGAGTTTATACTATTTTGTTCCATTCTCGCTTTACTCTGAATGACATGTTGTGGACAGAGTGTTTGTGGAAAGCCATGGCCCTGATTTAATCTGTGCATCTGAAATAGAGAATTGTCAGTAGGCAGTTTTTCAGTCTGGGGGACAGACAGAAATAATAAAGAAAGGAGGAATGAGGAGGATAGAGTGGGATTAGACTGTCACCAGCATGACTAACTAGACACACTGTGAAATATCCTGACAGTCAACTCTCCACCCCCACCCTATCCAGCCCACACCAGGAATAGGCTGAAACTTTATTGATGACGGAGGGTGGAATTGTAAAGGAAAGGTGACCATAAGAAGTTCCTGAAAGTAATGATGACACTAGAGGCTTCTCAATTCTTACATTTCCCCTCCTCGAGACTTAGTCCCGCCCACAGGAGATGCGAGCGGAGGACCGATGAGAGAGGAGGGGAAGCAGCAGACGTTTAAATAAATGAGAACTCCTCTCCTCTGAGCGGTCATATTAAAGCGACGTCCGTTCATTATTACGTGGCAACAGCTGCATCAGCTGTTGAGTGTTTTGTCATAGCGCGGTATTTTATAATCTCTGTTAGATCAGCTGAACATTGTTCCCCCACATATTTACTTTGAATTCATTGAGAGTGCGGTATAATAAGACAATAACAGGCTACAGAATACAGATGCGGACACACACAAATATATACGATTTAAAGTATGAGAGCACTCTCATAATAACGTAACACAATCAGAGACTGGATATATCCCCCCCCCCCCCATGGGGAATTGAAATTACGGGCCAAAAGTTGTATTTACAAATATTAAAAGTAAGCATAGGACACCAAACCAACTGAGACCCGTCTGTCCGCCGCATCTACGCACTGTACAACACACACGCTCCTAAAGCATAATCAGGCTACAGCCGTTGTTGTATTTTATTATGTGAAGCACTAAATGGTATTATAAAAATATCGACCCTTTGTAGATATCTACTAAACTAAAGCAAATAAAGAGAGTAGGCCTGTTATACTGAGTGATATATATTATACACACTGCTCTGCTTTCTGCACGGACCTCACTGTTCCCGGAAATGCATCCGGAGGAGCCGTGGAGGACCCATCAGTGTATCCTCGATTAGAGCTCCTCCAGAGAGCCTCATCGATGCTCGGTCCTCGGTGTGCATTTAGAGAAATTAGATGTCCTTCAACATGGCGCGCTGAAATTAATTTCCGGGTCACTACCGGAGGACCGAGGAGTCGAGGAGGGGAAATTTGAGTATTGAGAAGCCTCTACTGACTGTCAGACGTTAGCGTCGGGCTAGCATATTTTTGTTGTTGAAATATAATGTATATTATTTTAATCACTTTCATCTTAACCTTTGCTGCTTGCTTTTTTGTTCTGAACGATAGGAATAAGCTAAGTAGGCTAGCTACTGTTTACACTCAAACAATTTGCATATCTGGATCATGGACAAGGCATTTAGATAACAAATAAATGTCCACGAAAAGTAATGAGTATAAACATAGGCCTACTCTTGAGTCAATTTACATTTGTTATCCGTTAGTATGCTCTGCTGGTTTTTACTGTTGTTCTAAGTAACAGTGGGATTTAAACGGGCAATATATGGTGTTTGTAACATGTGATTATTTCAATTTATAGGAGAAAATTGTTTACTGAAAGAGTTACTTTGAGTAAATATGGTTGAACACATTTTTAAAAAGGAGTTCTGCAATATCATTAGGAGACATTCATTTTGTTGTTAAGATGGCATTTAACAACTAAGACAGATAGTATGATTAGAAAAAGACAGAGGGGAAAGGGTGGGATTTATTTAACCTCAGTGTGCAATAATTTCTATAGGTAATGCGTCCGGAGACCTGGACTCTCTCCCTGTCAGACGGCTAAGACCCCAATCCGCCTGAGCAAACAAAGACCTAACCCAAGCAGGAGACTGCTGCTTCTCCATTGAACAGACAGAGAACCAGAGCTGAACCAACAACAACAAGACTGCATCCAGCACTATCTCCACCTGTGGCAGCCAGAACCAAACAGCATGCTGACAGACAGAGATCTACTATCATCAGCCCCTCAGATAGGGCACGCAGTTCCAAGCTGAGCCATGAGATTTGGCACAAGAGCAAAGTGTGGGACATGAGAGCGGAGTCCGCCCTCCATAAAACAGCAAAGAGACTGTAAAGGAGGAGATGAAATGCAAAGCAGTGCAAGAACAGTGGCATGATGGGGGCTGCAGATGTAACTGGGCAGATGGCTGCCTCAAAGAGTTACAGCGGATGGATTCAAGAGGCGCATTCACACTGCGGTACTTTTCCCACAAAGGTTCATTTGAACTTAGTTCATGTGAACTCTTTTATCGCGTTCACCAAAAAGAGCCGGTACTAAAATTAGTTCATGTGAACCTTTTTACCCCCACGAAAGTCCCTGCTAGAGAGCAGGGACTGTCGTGCGGCTCTCGTGAGAAAAGAGCTATATTTCTGATTGGCTGGGCGGATTGCAAACCACGCCCCGTAAAACTCCCAAAAAGTTTTGTGAAGCCGACATTTTATTATCCTCGCATTAGCATTATTAGCATTAGCCCAGCGCAGAAACGCAGAGAGACTAACTTATGGCAACACAAAATAAAACATGGGAGCGGTGGAGATGAGGAGGTGTCGGCGTTCTGGCGATTTACTCGAAAGGCTTCAGTAGAAGCTGCTGGGAGTCCCAGCAGCTTCTACTGAAGCCAGTCCCCAACTCCGGGGACTTCCGGCCGGGGACTTTGGGCGGCAGTATACGCCGTGAAGTGGTTTGCGGCCTGCCAGTAAACCCAAAGCAGAAGAAGAAGAAGTGACGTCAGCGGCTTAATTTGCCTAATCCACCCCCACGGACTTTTTCCAGTGTGAACGCGATCTGTACTTAGTTCATGCGAACTAAATAGTTCACATGAACTAAGTTCACATGAACCTTTGTGGGAAAAGTACCGCAGTGTGAATGCGCCTAAGAGCTGTTAAAGGGGGAGAAGTCAGAATCAGAGGAGTTGGTCGAGCAGAATGTGAGGAGGCCGGGGTCACGGCTCGAGATAAACCAGAGGAGACGGGAAGGGAATCGGAATGAGTGAGTTTGCACATAAACACACTTATTCACAAACGCATATGAAAAGGACCAAATGTCAAGTTGTGATTTGGTTTGTTTGATTGACTCCTGCCTAAACTTGAAAATGGCTTGATTCACTCCAAAAGGACAACTCAAATTTGAATCTTTTGAGTTTATTGCAGATTCCTTTTTGCTTCATTCA